GGTTAGGGCTATGGTTAGGTTTGGGGTTAGGGTTAGGGCTATGGTTACAGTTAGGGTTAGGGTTAGGGTTAGGGCTATGGCTAGGTTTGGGGTTAGGATTAGGGCTATGGTTACAGTTAGAGTTAGGGTTAGGGCTATGGTTATGGTTAGAGTTAGGTTTTGGGCTATGGTTAGGTTTGGGGTTCGGGTTAGGGCTTTTGTTAGGTGTATGGTTAAGTTTAGTGTTAGGGTTAGGAACACGGTTAGGGCTAGGTTTAGGGTTAGGTTTAGGTTGTGGAGAGAAAATCTCTTCTTACAGAAGAATCCTGGACTAGAAGTCACTGTTGAAAATAAAGTGTCACCCATTTAAAACAGAAATGGGGTAATTTTGTTTCTGACAATAGGTGCTGAGTCTTTTGAACTCTCTTCCTGTAAGGGTTGAGAAAGGAGAGTCTTTGAACATTTCGAAGGCAGAGGTGGATTGATACTTGGTAAGAGAGGGTTATTAGGGAGAGGGGAATGTGGATCTGAGGACACAATCAGATCAACCATGATCTTATTACATGGCAGAGCAGGTCTGAGGGCTTGAATGGTATATCTCTGCTTCACTTTCCTCTAATTGTAATACACCAACAGAGATTTAAAGTTTTCTTTCGGCTTTATTTTACATTATTTTCTCTTACCAATTTTAAAGTTGATCGCATGCAGCAAGTTGGTTTGTAAAATATTTGAGATTTGGGAAAGGGGGATGTAGAAGGGCATACTGCACCCCTCAGAATCCATGGGACATGATCCCACCATCTCACCACAATTATACCGGGGCTGGTCCTTTGGAGTTTGTGGGTCATGAGAGGATTCTTAATTTGTTTATGATCAGAAATACAAACACCACTATAGACAGTTCACTGCTGCTGGTCTGACCATGCAGAATGAAAATCCAATACTTGGTCTTTGTTGATGCAGGGAGGCAATGTTTTCCCACACTTTCCCTCAGATCTCCCCATGCCTTTTTACACTCAGCTCCCACGTATCGGGAGGCTGGGCCTGCAAGATAAAAACAGATTGAGAAATGTAGCTGTGGAGTTGTTCACTGGGGATGAACAGCTTTTACTGTTCCCAGATTGCCTGAAGGAGAACCTGCAGGCAGACAGAACTGATGCGTAAACTGCTATCTGTCTCTATTAACAGATACTGAGACATGGGGGAGCATGGTTAATGGTGATGGGAGACCAAGAGAGGATTTAGTTGCTGATGATAGGTGGAATGATGAAAGTCCAAGAAGATGAAGTTCCAGGTGAAAGGGACAATGACAGGGGTCAAGTCTGAAAGATTTCAAGAGGGATGGAGACCGCAAATCACAGAACTGGCCCTGCAGCGCAAAGGATCTGTTTATGTATTGGCATAAGTTCCCCCACTAAATGAGCCCTTTGTGGGCTATCCTGAGCTGTAACTCAGTCAGCTGATTGCGTGCCAGCAGACAATTCCTGCCACTATCACCTTGTGACAGCAGGTAGGACATATGCCCACCACATGTCCACATGTACAATCTGCATTGTACCACATGTATTACAGCTCCTGACACAAGAGCAGATGTGCACCTACTTCTCATCCCCCTGCCTTGTGGGCTGTGCCATGCTCATTAAATTCAGGCTGAGCTCTTTTCGGCCATGTTTAAACTCCCAGCGGATTATTCACATGACAGGTCATTGAATAAGTATCATCAATTACATCTACAAAATGGCTGTTGAATTTGCCCTTATAATTTTTTGATCTTCTTCAGAAAAAGCTGAAGATGGAGATATATCATCAGAAATCATGAAAAGGCGATGGGTGCCAAGTATCTTTAAAAGCATGCCCTGGGAGTGCTTTCAATTTGCAGGGTATGAAATCAAAATCACAGAAACCACTGATTGCTATGGTGCGTATGTCTGGCCTTCGGTAAGCATTGTAGTCAGTTTTAATGTGACATTTGCTGAAATTAGTGGATAATTGTTTAATCTGTTTGATGTCATACTTCTACCTACTATTTTAAATGGGTTTAAACCTTTAATGAAAAGGTTAATTCAAGAACGGCATATGAAAAATGTAAGTACTTAATGAGGAAGGATGTATAGGCCTTGGAGGGAGTAAAATGTTGGTTTACAAGAATGATACCTGAACTTCAGGGGTCAAGTTAAAATTAGGCCTATTTTCTCTAGAATTTAGAAGGTTAAGGGGTGATCTGTTTGAAGTCTTCAAGATATTATCAGGAAAAGACAGGGTAGATAAAGATAAACTATTTCCCCTGGTCGGAGATTCTAGACCTAGGGGACATAGTCTAAGAATTAGGGCCAGACCGTTCAGGAGGGATGTTAGGAAGCACTTCTTCACACAAAGGATGGAGAGGTTTGGAACTCTCTTCCACAAATGGTAGTGCATGCTGGATCAGTTGTTAATTTTAAATCTGAGATCGATCATTTTTTTTTGTAAAACATAGGTAGTAAGGGATATCGGCAGAAGGAGTTGGGTCACAGATCAGCCATGGTCTCAGTGACTGGTCGAATATGCTTGAGGGGCTGAATGGCTTATTTCTGTTCCTGTGTTCCTATGTCGGAATTTCAACAAATGTTCTTTGTTAAATGTTGGATTTAAAATAATAGCACCTGGCAACCATCAATAAAATGTTAAGTTGAATAAAAGAGACTAACTCAAATTTCCATCGTTGCATTACACAGGCCTTGGTGTTGTGCTATTACCTGGAACACAGTCAGAAAGAAAATAGTCTTATCGATAAAAATGTAATTGAAATAGGAGCAGGAACAGGTTTGGTATCAATTGTTGCTGGTTTACTTGGTAAGTAAAAACCATCTTTAAAAATAACGTCTTAGATTGATATTGTAATCCTTGCGAAAGTTTCAGACAATTTTCCATCAGGAAGATGGAACTAAGCAAGAAGCAAAAACAATTTAGGAAGAGGGATTAACTGATTGCTTAAAGTGATAAGTAGGTGCTGAAGGTAAGCAGTAGGAGAACAATTTTCTCTCAGTGTGTGGGTATTTACTGATTGCATTTATTGTATATTCTGGGTCTGTAACAGGAGAGTTCCTTATTTCCCAACAACTAGCCCTTAATTTGGTTCCTGAAACAATAGCCCTGGGTCAATGGCCCGCCTCAATGTGAAGACATTGTGATGGTACCCAGGTAGCACGAAGCTCTGTTGTATGAAATGCTTACAGATGCACATTAATAAAAGCTGCTGGTTGGTATGGTAGTGCTGGGATCACAGTTTGTGATGTGAATGGAGCTCTGCACCCTGTGTAAATCCAACCAGTGATGCAGATCTGAGTATGGCCATTCTGGTTATTGACAAGGAGAAGATTCACAGTTATCTGTATCATCAAACAAATGCAGCTGAGTGGGAGCTGAATGACCTCTTTCTGAAATTCTGTAGTTCTGCGATATGGGAGCAGTATCAGAGGGCTGGAGGGTTCCAAAGCTAAGGTCTTTTCAAAAATTTGTGTCCGTAAAACTTGATTGTTTTCTTTTGATGAAGTAATAGCAGAAGTTAATGAGAGTATTGATTGTATCTGTGGACTTTGCTTATATGTCACATATTAGACTTGCTAGCAAAAATGAAAGCCATGAGATTAAAACAGCATTGATTCTGTGGACATGAAAGTAGCAGACAGGCAGAAAGCAAAATGTTGAGAAGGTTAAGGGGAGATTTCATGTAGCTGTTCAAAATCATGAAAGAACTGATGCTCAACAGGGGTTTTTGAATAATATGACTGACAGGTGCAAGTGATAGTCAGAAACTCCACCTCATTACACACCTACCCCTTGAAGAATCTTCTCAGGAGGTTCTAGGTTACTACATCCAACTGTAAAAGGAAGAAAAGACCAGTATTATTGAATAGGCTCTGGCTGAAAGTTTTAATGAGTGGACTAGCTGAAATATTCAAATAGTAAATAACATACAAAATTTAATGCGCTATTGAGAACCAATATATTGTAAGCAGAATATATAGGAAACTCTTGCAATGAGATTCTACCATGAGATTTTATAACCTGTGTGTTAGTGTACTGTTAGCGCTACAGAATGTTGCAATTTCAACCTGATTGTAACAATTTGGGAATTTTGCATCACAGACTCATGAATACATGTTGAACTAAATAAATAGACTCATGAGTATATGTGATCAATGATCCAATGTTATGTGTACAATTTCCAAACACAGGTTATATTTAAATACAAATTGTACACTTTCTCAAATAAGATCTTACTGTATGCAAACTTGGCATAATGTCCCTTACAGTTTCGTTTCATGTTACATTTCTTTGACAATCCTATTTGCCAAATTGCTAAATATATATTCTTGATTTTTCAGGCTGTCATGTGATTGCCACAGATCTACCTCATTTACTCGGAAACCTCCAGTACAATATATCCCGAAATACAAAATTGAGAAGCAAATATCAGCCACAGGTCAGAGAACTTAGATGGGGAGTAGATTTGGAAAACAAATTCCCCAGAAGTGCTTGTCAGTATGATTATATTATGGCCGCTGATGTGGTCTACAGTCACCCATACCTGGATGAACTTCTAATGACTTTTGATCACTTATGTCAAGATAACACCATCATTTTGTGGACAATGAGATTTAGACTTGATGAAGATAATGATTTTGTGAAGAAGTTCCAGTGTATATTTGATACTGAAGTTATTTATGATCTTCCAACTTTACAGATAAAGTTGTACAAAGCAAAAAGAAAAGTTTTGCAAATTGGTTAAATGATATAGAGAAAAGCACAGCCATCACAGGAGAACTAGCAAACTGTTAGCAACTGTGAAACAATAGTTCTCCTTATCATGGTGAGTTAGGTTTAATTCCCTGGAAATCAGACTTAAAAAATGATGTGAGATGATGGACTTTCAACAAAGTTTATATTGGTCTCCAAGCTTCCACTATTTGACAAGATTTCCCAGCTAAGAAACCTTCAAAGAGAAGGTTTAGCTCACAACAAACATGTTTAAACAGCCAGCCTAAATGAAATGTTTAAATGAACCTGGATTTTTGGCATTGACACATGCTTGTGATAAGAATCAAGCAGATTGTACAGCTCTTTCTGAGACCACAATCGCAAAAATGTCTGCATTAATTGCTAATTAGAGGGAGAACATTTACTACTATTCAAGCATTTAGACATGCCAAGTAGGAACTGAAATGTTCCATCCCATTGTTCTGTAGCTTTGCCAAAGATTTTACTTAAAGTTTTAGCAGAAACAATTTTCTCAGACACTAGAAATGCTTCTTTTGTTTAAAGTTCTGTACTATCCATTTTCATTTTGATACAAAATATCATTGTTCTCCTGTTTTTGAAAATTCGTTTTTTGAAATAGAATACATATGTTGAATGCCTAAAAAAGAACAAACTTTGATTTAGTATAGTTTTCATTTGTAAACAAGTTCCCGACAGAAAATTAAAATACAAAATATTAATTTTGCTAAAAATTACTTTTTTGAGGCACATGATAAGTCACTCAGTTGGCTGATAAATACATTCACGGTTACTCTTCCATATATGACTGCCATGCAGAGCAAGAATGAAACAGAAGACAAGATACTCTCGGAATATCTTCATTCAACATTCTTCAAAGTTCTGGGAGGATTACAGAAATAAGACATTACCTGGAATTATACTGATATATGGTACTGTGCCAGAATGACAATACAGACCATATTTTAAAAAAACTGTTTTCCAAATGTAACTGTTATCTGTGATTTAAAAATATGACTAAAGAATATTTTGTTAAAAATTAAAATAGCATAATGAACTATAGTTTGTAATGATTGTAATTGTTTGTACACTTTATAAAGCCAGGATTTTGTCTTTTTACTTTGTGTCATATGGTCCAAAAATGATAAAGTTATTAATAGTCATGAATCATTTGAAGGAAATTTATCAATTTCCTTTTTAATCATCCACACTAACAAGTTGTGTCCTGTGTTGACTAAAGGCGTCTGGATGAGTACATGAATAGGAAGGGTTTAGAGGGATATGGGCCAAATGCTGGCAAATGGGATTAGATTCATTTAGGTTATCTGGTCAGCATGGACAAGCTGGACCGAAGGGTCTGTTTCCATGCTGTACAGCTCTATGACTCCATGACATCATTGTTTCACAAATTTTATCCGCGTCACCAATTTACTTCAACTTTCCATCTCTAGCCACCTATATTTGGAATTCAGTGTGCATCAGAAAAATATCTCGGCTTCCAACTTATTAAATTTATTCACGATCAAGATATAGTCAATCAAATCTCTCCTCACAGTCTTCCAGGCTCACCAAAAGCACAATTATTCCTCATAACTCAGTTTTCCTAGCTCTGATATGAATCTTAAAAAGCTCATTGAACTCTATCCCATATCATAATCCTTTAGATGTAGAGAGACATTAGCCCAATCACTGACATGAGAAAACAATTTAGTGTAAGCATAAAATATGACACCAGGCATCATTAAACCTAGGTCTGAAACTGAATAAGAGCTGCATTCCAGTGAAGAAGTGAGAGTAACTGCCCTTGGCATCTAGTTAGCATTTGGCTGTGTGTGACATCAAGGAGTCTTAGCAACATTCTACACAACGGGATTATAGGAAAAATACTCCACTGGTTAGAATCATATCTGGTGCAAAGGAAATTGTTGAGGTTGTTGCAAACTTATCTCAGCTCCAGGACATTGCTTCAACAATTCTTCAGGATGGTGTTTGGGGCCTAACCATCTCCATCAATGATCTTCCTCCAACATAAAGTCATAAGTCTAGATGTCTCCTGCTGATCACAGAGTGCTCAATGCCATTTCTAACTCATCAAAGACTGAAATAAAGCCAGAAAATATGGAAACAAAAACAGAAATTGCCAGAAAAGCTCAGCAGGTCTGGCAGCATTTGTGGAGAGAAATCAGACTTAACATTCTGGGTCCAGTGACCCTTCTTCAGAGCATCAGAAAGTAGAGGAATATGCATCAGCATCTCTGGAGAGATAAGCAGAGTTAACATGTCAAGTATAAAACTAAGAACTGTAGATACTGGAAATCTGAAACAAAAACTGACACTTCTGAGAAAGGGTCACTGGACTCAAAAGATTAATTCTGTGTCTCTCCCCACAGATGCTGCCAGGGCCTGCAGAGTATCTCAAGCAATTTCTGTTTTGTGTAACATTTCAGACATGTGGTTTTTCATCAAACTCTGAAATGTGAACTCTGAGCATTTCTCGAGAGATGCTGTTAGACCTGCTGAGTATCTTCAATCTCATATTAGTAAAAGCAGAGATGTGGCAGATGAAATTCAATGCACAGAAATGTAAAATGATATATTTTTGGTAGGAACAGTTAGAGGCAATCAGAATGGAATGAAGCAATATCTAAAGGGAGGATACAGGAACAGAGTGAGCTAGGATCTGGGTGCACAAAATTTTTGAGTCTGACAAACCATTGAGAACATTTTTAATAAAAAACTGGAATCCAATTAGTTATTTGGTAGTACAGAATTTTAGTACAGTCGGTTCTGCTATAACGCGTGTTCTGGTAACACCAACTGACTGTAACATTACTGACGAATAATGGAAGGCTATTTCTAAAATATGAACTTGTGTTGGCTATAACGCGATTCCATCCCCCAAGAAAACAGTCAGAAGACAATGAACTACAGCTATCCACTTCTGGATTAATTATTTTCGCCCTCACCTTGCAACCACAATGCACCTGAAGGTGATGATGACGACAACCCTCAGCCCCTGCATTAACAACAGAGCAACATCAAAACCTCCTTCCCCATTGAGTCATCTTGACACTTTTTCAAGATAAGGTGTTTAATTTACTTTTATTTCATTATTAGATATGAATTAAATATTTATTCAAACAGTGCCAACCTTTGTGTTAGGCTTTTGAGTGATTTTTAAGTGATTTATTTTGGTGGTCTGCCCTTAACCCCACTTTTCCCGTAGACCTGTTATTTCTATTGTGCAATTTTCCACAACACAATGTTGCACAGGAATGCAACTATTGCATTAAAGTAGAACTGACAGTATGGTTTAAAAAAAAAATGTACATTTAGTGGAAGGTTTTCACCCTGCAATGTTCAGGACAAGAAATAAAGGGAAAATAATTTGTACTGTTTGAGAGGAAAGCTGATTGGTTGGGAAGTGAACTCTAATTAGTTAAGACACCACCATGGAGAATGCAGCAGGTGATGATAGTTGACAATTCCTTGCCAAACTTTGTTTAAATTTTGAGCAGGCAGTTTAACTCTGAGTGGTCAAGTCAATGCCTGAGAAATGCTCCAGGGAATGGCTGTCACCTATTTTGTTAATTTGAAACAGGCAGAGTGTGTGTACATAATTTTTCTCTCTGCAAAGGACAGTGCCCTGTGTATTTATATGTAGTTTGGAGACATGAAAGTGAAATGTGAGACTGGTTGACAATCCTAAATTAGTTTTCATCATAATTCAATACGCACTCAGTATTATGTTGTAAGCATTGTCCAAATGTGGGGCCTCATCTAATATTGGGTACAGTCTTGTGAATTTTGCAAGCACATGCTGGTTGAGTATGGCCATTATACAGCTTCTTGTAAACAATCATAGGGATATGCTGTTAGAAGTGATTTTTAATGGGCTAAGACCAGACAACAATATGTTCATAGTCTTAGGCGTTATAAATGGATTCAGAACCATTCCCTTTCACCCAAAATCATAGAAGGAACTCATATTCCCTGAATGGGAAAAGCAATACACATAGAATTCTCCCCGCAACTCCCCCACACTCCCCCAACACCCCCCACATGGGAGTTCCACACTAGTTTGTGTACATTTCACTAGGTGATGAACAAGGTCCTAAAATTGGTAAACCTGGTCCCCTATGATAGTATTTCTGTACATTTGCAGACAAACTTCTGACAGTATCTAAGACTGAAACTAGACCTTGCAGAGTATTGACATAATAACTGACTTAATAATACCGCCAAGATAATAACATCCATCATTATGAAGTGCTTCGAGAGATTAGTAATGGCACAGATCAACTCCAGCCTCCCAAACTGCCTTGATCCACTACAATTTGCCTACTGTCATGAAAGGTCTACAGCATCTGACGGCATTTCTCTGGCTCTGCACTCATCCCTGGAACCTCTGGATAATAAGGACACCTACATCAGACTCCAATTATTGACGTTAGCTCCACCTTTGACACCATAATTCCAACTAAACCCATCTCCAAACTCTGAGACTTGGAACTCTGCTCCCCCCTCTATATCTGGATCCTCAAATTCCTGACCCACAGACCGCAATCAGTAAGGATAGGCAACAACACTTCCTCCACAATAATCTTCAACACTGGTGCCCCGCAAGGCTGCACACTCAGCCCCTTACTATACTCCTTATACACTCTCAACTGTGTGGCCAAATTCCGCTCTAACGCCATTTACAAATTTGCTGATGATATCACTGCAGTCAGTTGGATCTCAAACAATGATGAGACAGAATACAGGAAAGATATAGAGAGCTCAGTAGCATGGTGTAAAGATAACAATCCTTCCCTCAATGTCAGCAAAATGAAGGAGCTGGTCATTGACTTCAAAAAGCAGAATGGAAGACATGCCACTGTCTGTATCAATGCTGCTGAGGTGGAGATCGTCAAGTTCCTAGGAGTAAGTATCACTAACAATCGGTCCTCGTCCATCTATGTTAATTCTACAGTCAAGAAAGTACACCAACACCTCTACTTCCTTAAAAGG